ATTAATTATAACGCACAAGGAACGAGGAATTCATTGTTAATTTCCGCAGCCCTAAATAATAACACAATTCCAGCGAAAGACAGGCAGATAAAGGGGTGATGTTCAATGTCTAAGCTACACACCCTGCAAAATGAAATCTACCGTCTCCTTTTGTGACTTTAATTGAGATTAACCCTGTTGTTACAAAGGCAGCCTTGCAAAGCCAATCCTATAGTATAACGCTAATGCCCTAATCAGTACTTAGAATGTCAGAAGAATAAAAGCCACATGTGATACAAGTAGGATAAAGACATGGAATGTAAATCCTATAAATGGATGCACACCTAGCGAAAAAGATAAAACACACTCAACTAGAGTGACAGACTGTGACGTCACCGGACTCCTCCCCCCTTCCCTTCGTTAGCCGACGGAGCCACTTGGGGAAGGGGGGAGGTATACGGTGACGTCGATGTCCGTGACGCCACCGGATCTCCAACGGAACTCCCGGAAGCCGGCGGAGAGGTGAGTACCGATCAAAAGAATTTTAATCGATCAAAAAAATGAACGATTAATCGAGGAATTAATCGTTGATTACCGCAGCCCTAGTTTAAAGTAGTTTTTTTTTTAATGTTTGCAATGTTTGTTGCCAAAAAATACTGGTTTTAGGTATAATATGCTCCTTCATAAAGCTGCATAGTAGTGCTTTAACTCTGGATTTGCTGAAGAAACTAATCTATAGAGACTAGTATACTAGATGTGCTTAATTTATGATTGTTATTAGGGACGGTCCCGATGTTGGAGTCGAGCAACAGTTTGACTCGAACATCGGCAGTTCGTGTGTTCGAGTGTAGGGAAAGCTAACTGTTGTCAGTGTAGTAAAGCATTTTAGTGCTATATAGAGTACTCTGTATTGTATATAGTATCATTTTCTGTGCTCCATATGCACTGTCTTTTTTTTTTTTGTCAGTTTTTTGTGTCAGTGGTGTTCCTCCTTTTGCATCCCCGCTGTTCCCATTTTTTTTTCTTTTTTCATTATTTAACGACACGCCGGAAGTGACGATACGCTACGCTGACCCGGAAGTGACGAGAAACCTCTGCAGACTCTAGATACTTGGCACCGATGCGGGGGAAGCTGCTACGTCTTGCGTTAAAGGTACGGGGACCACAGGCGCTTGCCTCTCTGAGGCCTCTGTCCTATGCTGGAGGTCGTGGACCGTCTTGGTGAGGTCACTGATAGAGGCATGAATGTTGGTGAGCGAAGTGACAATGGTCTGTAAAGCTACGTGCTCTGAGCTACCACTGGCCGCTGCTGGGGGAAATAATAATTTAAACAATTCTGCCTTCCTAGCAGAGGCTGAAAAGGGGATATTTTTCTTCCGCAGTTCCATAATAAGTCTAGGAATTGTCCAAGCCCTGAAGGACTGCGTGCTCCCTTGCTCCGAACCTCTGGCTGGAGTAGAAGGTAGGAACGCCATCTCCTCACTCTCGGACACATGAGACATAGTTGCTGACATACTGTAAAACATAATCCCAACATATAGAAATTACCGACCTGAAAATCCAACATCTCTCTATAACCCACACTCGCATCCTGCCACGCCGTGACCTAATTGCTGTGGGTTCTGGGGGTGTTTGTGGAATCTCCAGTCACCCAACCTCAGAATATTAATTATCATCAGTGTGTAAATGACGAAGCGTATGACGTATGAATGGGGTATGAGTAACCAATTAGTTATTTATGACTCTCATCACCCCCGACTAATCGGATTGTCAGAAATGTATACATATACCTAAGTGTAGGGACAATCCGTACTGTATGCAATATGATGGGTTTGCATGAAAACCCCGAACTGCACGAAACCGAAAACATGCCTTCAATACTAGATGTAACAGGCCGCGCTGGCCTCACCAACAAATCTGCAGATAATGTAGCAATCTGATCGCGTCCCTACCAGGAACTTGATGTGCGAAGGTTTGGAACGACCGTATGGGTGAGACCGTCCGTATGTCATGCGCTGCTGGTACCAGCTGAAATAGGAACTGCAGGCGCACCCCGATGCCATCCAACCTGGCCGAATTGCTTGCAACTGCCCCCCCCTCCTCATGGTAACCGTCCCCCCCTTACCCCAGTGCCACATGTCTTGAAGCTTGCCCCAATGTTCCTGTGCCCTGAACCCCTACTCCGTGTATCGCCCGACCCCCAGAACCTGCGTGAGCCCAACCTCCGGTATCCCTGTATGTTGCCCTGCTGACATGCCCTCTGAATGCCCACCTGCACCAGTATCGTGACACCATACCCTATTGCCGTTTACTCCCGGAACTGTAGCTTCCCCGCCCAAGTCACCCCCACTATATGCCCTGTACCGGAGACGTGCCGGCCATGCATGCAGAGTATGAGAACATGCCCGTTTTAATGTCAGCGATCCCCCCCTGCTGTTGCTAAAACAAAAAGGCACCTACTACAACCCGCAATGAAAACGAGGAATCCGCTGCTGGACCCGTGTAGTAGGAACGATCCTCCGCTCCTGGAAGATGAGAAACCCATGAGACAACCGAAGCAATACACTGCAAATGCGGGGACCGAAAACGCCGTTGCGAGCCCGCGGTACCTGCTCCACTGACGGCACGCCGGAAGTGACGATACGCTGACCCGGAAGTGACGAGAAACCTCTGTAGACTCTAGAGAATGCCGTCACGAAGGGTTCAGACGAGAACCGGACGTCCCTGTAGCCTCGGCCTGCCCTCTTTTATGCGTGGGGGGCGCGCCAACCCCTCCCACAAATCCCGGCTAACAAGTTAGCCATCCCACTTATTTAAATTATTTTTACTTTTTCTTCAGCAGCAGGAATTTTTGCTGCATCATTGGTGTTCCCCCTTCTGCGTCACAGGTGTTCACGTTTTTTTTTCTTTGTTTTAATTACTTTTACTTTTTTATTCAGCAGCAGGTTCTTTTGCTGCCTCATAGCCGTTCCCCCTTCCACGTTGCAGGTTTTACTCCTTCTGTGTCACCGGTGTTCCCGTTTTCTTATAATTTATTTTTACTTTTTCTTCAGCAGCAGGTTCTTTTTCTGCATCATTGGTGTTCCCCCTTCTGCGTCGCATGTGTTTCCGTTTTTTTTCTTCTTAATTTTTTTCTTTTTTTCTTTCTTTATTTTTTCAAATTAAGCCACTGTACAACAGTTTATAGTGCACCAAGCACCACATTCGATACAGTATTGCACCCAAGCAACAATTTCCCATCCCACATTCTTTCAATAAAATGTTATAATAGGCCCCGCATCATGTCTAAGGGCCAACAAGGAGGCAGATGCTCCCATGCAGCTATAAGAAGGCAAGCAGCCTCTGTGTCCACAGGCAAAAGCTGTAGTTGTGGACATGGTCCATCCTCTGCAGGCAGGGCATGCTTGTCCTTTTAATTTTTATTGTTTCTCTTTAAGCAATGTTAAAATTACTGCTCCTTTAAAAACTGGACATTTTAAATGTGTTTTTTGCATTAATACATACCATACCCTTTTTATGGCCAACAACTTGCATATAAGCCTTCAAAATGGGTACATTTGATTTAATGAGTTCTAGCCCCATAGACTTTCATTGAGTTCTAAGTTCTTGTAAGAACTTTTTCCCTGTTCTAAAGTTTTTGTTAGAACCAAAGGTGTGTTCAGCCCATCACTACTCCTCATGTAGATTTCCCCAAAAATCAGCTATTTTTTAGAGAAAAACATATATATGCACTAGGGCTGCACTGATACCAATACCAGTATCGGTATTGGTGCCAATAGTGGGTGCTTTAAACTTTTAGATACATTCAGCTGTTGTAAAGTCCCGCATTTGCATGGGACCTCACCACAGCTTTCTGGGGACCGCACAGCCCTGGTGAGCACAACCCTGCACAGCCCTGGTGAGACCCCACACCTTCCCACGCAGCCATGTTGAGATCTGCCCACACAGCCCTGGTGAAACTGCACAGTCATTTTGAGACTGCACACACCCCTGGTCAGATCACACAGCCCTTGTGAAACCTGCATGCAGCCCTGTGAGACAGCACAGGCCTGGTGAGACCGCACAGTCTCGGTGAGACCACACAGACTTGGTCAGACTGCAATATACTGGCGAGATACCGCTCACAGCCCTGGTAAGATGCAGCACACAGGCCTGGTGAGATGCAGCACACAGCCCTGGGGAGATTGCATAGCCCTGTTGAGACTGCACACAGCCCTGGTGAGACTGCACACAGCCCTGGTGAGATTGCACAGCCCTGGTGAGACCCACACACAGCTCTGGTAAGACCGAACAGCCCTAGTGAGACCCCAAAGCCCTGGTGAGACACCCTGCACAGCCCTGGCAAGATACCACACCCAGCCCTGGTGAGACCGCACCCAGCCCTGTTGAGAATAGCACAGCCCTAGTGGGACCACACGCAGTCCTGGTAAGACCACACATCCCTAGTGAGACCGCAAAGCCCTGGTGAGATGCTGCATACAGCGCCTGTGAGATGCCGCCCACAGTCCTGGCGAGATTCGCATACCTCCCTCTACAGTTTGCAGTCAGTAGCAGAACTACCAGGGTTGCAGCGGTTGCAGCTCCGACTGGGCCCTGGCGCTCCACCGCTGTCCTAAAATCGTTAGCCTGTATTATTTTAGAAAGACTGTCACTAAGTGGTATCAGTGCATCCATAACGTACACACACATACACACTTTTTAAAAAAATGCTCAAGCTGCTAATTGCCCGGGGTGGCCAAAATTATGTCCTGAAAAAAGTCAAAAGACATTAATTTTGCTCTCCAGCAGTCACTAGTAAGAAAACCGGGCAATAGATAGGTACAGACAGTGCCATTGACCATGCAACAATAACATCTTGTTTATGGAAATGTATATTATAATAATAAAGCTGAAGATATTGTGATAGTACAGGACAGATACCATACTTCGGCAGAAAATGGGACCTTTTGAAAGCTTTTCATTGTATTAAGATATAGCAAAGGAGGAAAGAGTCATATTTACAGTATTGATAATTACTTTACCTTGTTCATTTGGATGTGCTATTTTAGAGGACACAGATCGAAGAACAGCCATAGTGTATCCACTTGGAGCATGTATTATGCCACCTATGGAAGAATAACATGAAGTGGTATTTTGTTTTGTGCTTTCAAAAGCTAAGCAGGCAAAAGTGCATTTACAGGTCATACAATTACAACTTATCTGTTCTGGATTTTGTATTGAAATTTTTAATTCATAATATCTCTTTTCATACAGTAATTTCAGATTGAAATTAAAAGGATCAGTTGTATATGGCTTCTGCATAGAGGTGATTATACATTTTTCAAAACATGCAAATGTTATAATCCAGTTGTTTTATTATAATACATTCTGGAGTACATTCTCACAAGATTTTAGATCCTCGCTTTTTCCTGAAGGCTGAGATGAGTAACATTACCAGTAGAGCTCGCAGTTCAGTCCAAATGCAGGTTAAGACCAGAGATTCTTGGGATGGCCAAACTAAATGTTGTTCATTGGAACTGAGCCTCCGTCTGCAGGGACTAACGTTGCTAAATGTGACAGCTTCCCTCAAGCTGGTTGTTAGAGAGCCAATGGCAGCTGGCATGCTACCAACCAGTGAGTCATTCCTGTCCAACCCATTCAGCTGTCTGTCTGGGATTCTGGCTCACAGCTGAATGTAAACAACAAGTGAAAAAAAGACCTGGAGTTCCCCCAAATTTCAGATCAGGCCTTCTGGGTCTGGTATTGATTTTTAACAGGGAACCCCCACACACAAAAAACAAATTGATGTGGGTGGCCCCCCCCCCCCCCCCCCCCACCGC